TTGATATAGCTCATATGCTTATCTTTGGAAGTGTTGATACAGCTCATATGCTTATCTTTGGAAGTGTTGATACAGCTCATATGCTTATCTTTGGAAGTGTTGATACAGCTCATATGCTTATCTTTGGAAGTGTTGATACAGCTCATATGCTTATCTTTGGAAGTGTTGATACAGCTCATATGCTTATCTTTGGAAGTGTTGATACAGCTCATATGCTTATCTTTGGAAGTGTTGATATAGCTAATATGCATATCTGTTGAAATGTGGATACAGCTTGTATGCTTATCTGTTGAAATGTTGATACAACTAGTATGTTTGTCTATTGTAAAATGGGAAATGTCTAATATGAGTCACTGTCTCATATAAGTGGTTAGCCAGGTTCTGAGTCGTTGATGTAAATTGTGTAATTGATAAGAAATGGAAACTGAAATGAAACATGAACATAGCGGTCATGAAATGGAAATGTATTATGAATTGATTTATGGAACTTGAACATTTATCAATTTCTAACGTCTTAGTTATTGCTCATACTGTGTTTAGCATATTTCTACTGGGCGTTGGCTCACCCTATATGGGACATCATTTTCAGGTACAGGTAGTATGCCACCTCCAAGGACATAGCTTGGATGATGATGAGAGTTGAAGACTCTTTTGTTTATTTTGTTTGTATTACATGTATATCAAGCCAAGGGCTTATTTGTATAGAGTTAGTACTCTTCTTTTGTGTAACCAGGTGTTAACTTGGAAAGCTGTAAGCCCATAGGACATTTGTTTTTGTTGTTAACATGTAACACTATTGTAAGAACTACTCTGATGAATATAAATGGTTGGTTTCTTTTATATAATTGCATGTCTAGTGATGAGTTTTATGTATTATTTTTGAGGGCGTTACAGATTAATTTGTCTCTTATATCAATTTAGTCCATATAGATTCAATTGTATTAATTTTGCTTTTTAATTTTTCATATTTGTGTTAGTTTAGTTAAATTAATAACATTTAATAAGAAATTGAACAAAAATAAAAGGCATAATGGTCCATTTAAAAGAGAATAGGTCATTTTAAATTGGACACAGACTCCTTATTCACTTGAGGAGTGTGAATGGATAATTTAGTAAGGGTGTTTGAAAAGTAGTTTTTTTGGCTTTTTTTTTTTTTTTTTTACTAAAATAGCATTAAAAGACAAAATAAGCTAAAATAGTCAATAAGACAAAATGTCACATTAAATTCATAATTATTTCACATTTTCTCTCACAAACATCACATCTAACTACAAAAAAATTCAACTATCTTCTCAAACTCAAAAATTTTAGCCTCCTAAAATAGCCAAAAACTTAAATAACCTACCAAAATAGCAACTTTCCAAACACTCACAACATGAAAAATTCAAAAATAAAATCAACAAAATTAGAATTGCAAAAAATAAATTATAAAAGGTACAAATATAATTTATCCAAAATAGATATACGCATACAATCACATGTATCTATTCAATTATTAAAAGCACATTACACAGAAGACAAACTTCCTCACGCTTTTTCTATTTTTCAAGAATGCTCCTCAAATTTCTAATTGAAAAATTTCATATCGAGCAATGACTTTAACATTGTATTTGGTTGAGAGATTTGAAAAGAAATTTATAAAAGAAAATGAAAAAGATATATGAAATGTGAATAAAATATGCCTACATTTCACCTAGTTTCACACACATTTTTTCTTTCTCTTTCCAAATCCCTTCTCAAATTCTCTAACCAAACACAACATAAGTCATTTTGAAAATACAAACGCTGTGTTTGGTTGAGAGATTTGCAAAGGGGATTAGAAAGAAAAAAGACAAAGATAGATAACCTGTAAATAAAATATACCTATATTTTATCTAATTTCACACACTTTTTTTTTTTGGGGTGAATTATACAAATAGTCCTTGTAGTTTACACGATGTGTCAATTTGGTCCATATTGTTTCAATTTGTTCGATTTTGCCCCTTGATTTAACGGATTGTGTCATTTTGGTCCAATAAATAATGACCGTTAAGTTTGGTGGATGGAAAGTCAAATTATGTGTCAATTTGGTCTCTGTAATTTACACAATGTGTCAATTTGGTCCCTCTCAAAATCGAGCAAATTAAAACTATAGGGACTAAATTGACATATTGTGTAAACTACAAGGACCAAATTGACACATTGTGTAGATTTTCCGTCCACCAAACTTAACAGTCGTTATTTATTAGATTAAAATGACACAATCTGTTAAATTAAGGGATAAAATCGAGCAAATTGAAACAACATGGGCTAAATTGACACATCGTGTAAACTACAGAGACCATTTGCATAATTTACCCTTTTTTTTCATTTTCAAATCTCTTTTCAAATTTCATAATCTAATACAGCGTAAACCATTTCAAATTCTACCCATCTTGTTTTATTAAACCGCTCAAAATTGCAAAAAATAAAATAAAAGTTACGGGGGGGACCAAAATCCCAAGAAAATGCTTTATATGTTATGAGGGTTTGGGAGCTGAGAAACTCACAGAAAGAAATGCAAGGATGGGTAGGAGGTGGAACTCCATGGAAAGCTGCAGAACAGAAAACTATGATATGAAAGAAAAAGAAAGCTTAGTAGTATAGCTAGCTTACACTTGGAAGTAAGAGAAGTGATATTGTGATATTTATAAGTGAGCGTTAGTGTTAGGACTTACCATATTTGACGACTGGTTTTATTGCTTTCAACTGCCCCTTGCTTAGATGCATTAAATATAATCATGCCAAATGGTACATTACAGTCCAAGCAAAGTAATGACTATGTTCTTAGACTGAAGAAGTGAATCTATGAAAATTCGTATGTAGCTCTCTTAACAAATTGGACATTATTTGGCTCAAGTTCCATAACAAACAATCTGTTTTGGGCATGCCATGCATGTTATTATTATTTTAAAAAATGCTATGTACTTACAAAAAAATATATATTTAAGAATGTGGTTCCAAATTAAATATTTTTGTCTTTCTTTCTGAATTATAGTATTTTTTTAATTCTACTTTTTAGTACGTCGAAGAGCTTGACTTGAGAGAATTGATCAGGAGTCTTGCATGCTTATGCATGGGAAGAGTTAGCCTTCACCTTTCTAATGAGATGTAAATATTCTAACCAGCTTAACTAACCCTAATCTATTTGTTCACTAATACTACATATCCAATTTTATTTATAAATATCGATATGTGATTCAGATTCATTTTATACATAATTCCACAATGCACTAATTCAATCATAGTCACATTTAAAAATTTTAGATAATTTTGTCACTTGTTTTTGAATAATTTTTAATGTTATTTAATTGTTTGTATGTTTTTAATTTTTGAAGGGTACTACATCATTAGATTGCTTACTTGTCAATCTCATGCATCAATTTGCTTACAATATACCAACATTTTGTGCCCTATTATAGTAAATAAACAGTGTTGCATAATCTGCAAATATTTAGTGTATTTCGTTGCCAAATATTTAAGAAACGAACTAATGGGTAAATTATACAAATAATCATTGTAATTTACATGATGTGCTAATTTGATCTCTATTGTTTTAATTCGCTTAATTTTGCTCCTTAATTTAACGGATTGTGTCATTTTACTCTAATAAATAACGGTTGTTAAGTATGGTAAATAGAAAGTCAAACTATCTGTCAATTAGTCCATATAGTTTACACAATGTATCAATTTGGTCACTGTTAAAATCGAGCAAATTAAAGCAATATGGACCAAATTGACACATTGTGTAAAATACATGGACCAAATTGACACATTGTGTAGATTTTCCGTCAACCAAGCTTAACAACCGTTATTTATTAGATTAAAATCACACAATCTGTTAAATTAATGGGCAAAATTGAAAAAATTGAAATAATAAGGACCAAATTGACACATCGTGTAAATTACAGGGACCGTTTGTATAATTTATCCTCTTCTTATCTATCTTTGAGAGTAGGGCTGTGCAAAATACCGCCCAATCCGCTAAAATCGCACCGATCTGCATCAATCCGCACCGCTCTAACCGCTAACCACGGTTTAAACTTTAAAATTTATAATCCGCCAACCGAACACAATAGTAACCTTCGAAAGCCAAAAAAGCCAACACATATATATTTTTTAACTTTCAATAAAATATCAATGTAAAAATGAGTGTGAGAGAGATTTAAGATATGAAATTTATTACAAATTAGTGGTTATATATATGAAACATATTATGTAAAATTACTTTGTGTTATATATCTAAAAAATATTATACAAATTAGTGTTATATATTATGCAAATGTATGATAATTAGTTAGAATATTCTTCAATCCGCCAATCCGCCAAAAACCGCCTAAACTGCATTTTGTCAATCCGCTAATCTGCCAACCTGCCATTCGGTTTGTAATTTTACTCTCAAACCGCCCGAACCGCACCGCGCACACCCCTATTTGAGAGTATGACTAAATATTGGACCTGTTTGGTGTAAGTTTTTGCAAAAATTCAGTGTATGCCAAAAACATCCATTTGTCAGTTTCAAGATAATTATATTTTTCAGCTATTTTTATCTTACAAGTTGTAAATGGAAAGTGCACCAAATAATCTCACACAAATTACACCCAAAAAAAAAAAAAAAAAAAATTATAAACAACTCAAATAAAATATACCAAACAAATCCATTATCATTGTTGTAAGCAAGGCATGGGACATCATGGTAGATGGAAATGGAAATGGAAATTAAAGTGTGAAGCTTTCGAATGTTGGCCATTTTTGCAAGCAAGGCATGAGAACAACATGGTAGATGCAACTGGAAATTAAAGTCTGTTTGAGAATCCGGGAGAGAAAACAAAAATATATATATTTATTTAAATTGAAAGAGAAAAGAAAAAAAGATTTTTTTTTTTTGGGGGGGGTTTGTATTCTTCTCCTTTTTTGTTTGGATAAATAGGAGTTAAAAGATAGTACTTTCCCATCTTGTTTGGATAAGCAAGAGAGCAAATATAGTGAGTGTTTGGGAAGTGATTTTTTTTTTTAGGTTTTTTAGTTTTTTGGCTATTTTAATAGGCTATTTTAGTTTTTGTGTTTGGAAAGTTGGGTTAAATTTTTGGGTTGATTATTGTATTGAAAAATGTGTTTGAAATAATGTTTAAAGTTAAAATGACAAATTTGCCCCTAATCATATTTTTTCCAAAATTGATCTATAGGGGTAAAATCGTCATTTAACTGTCTGAAGTCTACACTGTTGGTGACAGTGTAGGTTGCTGTGCTGCTAGACAACCGCTGCTTTTCAATTATTATTATTATTATTATTATTATTTAAATCAATCGGTTAAGTGAGGCTAAAAGACTTTTTTGCCATTTGAAGCTAAAATAGTCTATGTCAAAGGTTCCCAAACACCGCCTAGTGTAAATTTTCTCTTCAATTTTGTTTGGTTAGACTATATAAGAGAAAAGTAGGGTTTATTACAAAACTTAACTCAAATCTTCATACACATAAAGAATTTCAAATTCTTTTTCTTTTGAGGAACAAAATATGAAATTGAAGATATAAATTCCTTGAATTTTCTGCAAAAATGTAAGATATAAACTCTTACGCATGAAAAACTTTAAAACTCAAATCAAAGATGAGGGAATTACAGTCATTTTCCATGAACATGAATGTAGCTCAATTTCTTGCTCCAAACCCATTTTCTTACAAAAACCACGGAATTATGTATCAACCATTAAGGACTTGACTTGTCAATAGTTAATCTTAAATTTTTGACCTTCTCAGAGTTTCAAGGAACAATAATATGAATCACTGGATCAACTATCCTGTCCTTACAAACTCATACTTAACTACTCAAAATTTAATTACGAAATGAAAAATGCTACCAACCCCACTCGAATTTACTTACAAGTTGTGCAATCGAGATTAAATTTGTGTAATGCGAGATTTATGTATAGAATTAATTTAAATCATAAAATGATAATTATAAGTAATTTTTGAATAGTTAATTATGAATTTGTAAGGACAAGATAATTGACCCAATAATCTGAGAGACAGGGGAGCCACATTAGGGCTCATGATGGGTCGTTTCACACACCAAAATTAAACACTAAAATTCTTTAGAATAATGGTAAGTCCAGGTATCGATTCACAGGGACAAACGGAAAATTAGACTAATTTAATGGTTAAATTCCTAAATTAATTTTGATTAAAAGAAGATTGGTTCATAATCTAATGAGAACTAAATTAAACAAAGTAATTAAACAATTAGTTAAAAGTAAGGATGAAGTACTGATTTTGGAAAAAATCTAGGATAATGAATCCACTACTAGTTACCTAAATAGGGTTTTAATTTGAAAATCAATTATGCTACGGTTCAAACGAATAATGCTTCACAACTACAAGCTTGAAGTATTTATCAAGAGAATTAACACGTTCAACGTATATGCACGAACCATCTCAAGTAGTATGAGTCGTTCACTTTAAACTAGGGTAACAATATGGCTCGTCTCTCGTAGTGTGGCTCGTCTCATACCCTGAACATGAAAGCACAGAAAACCATTGTATGAAGAGCATTCAACAATCACAGAAAGCAGAATACTCAAAGAAATAATGAAAAATTATATTAGAAAGCTTCTTGAGAACCATACAACTATTCAAACCATTACATAAAAGAAAATCAAAAATAAAACCTATTTACTTGGCTAGGGTTTCATCAAAATCTTGGAAAAAGGAGCCTAGCCACTCGTGGAGGAGTGGGAAGAGGTAGATGGAAAAGAAGACACCATGGGAGACATGTTTCAAGCTTCAAGTTCTTTTGTTTCAAATCCTAGCCTGTCTCTCATTGGAAAAATATTAGAACCCTAATCCAGCCTTTCTTTCTTCTTTTGATACCTCAGTTGCCTTTCAAACAGGTTTAAAACAGCGGCATGATTTTCGAGGTACTGCTGCACGTGCGGGAAAAGTAAACGCACGTGTGGAAAAGTCAACGCACGTGTAGCAAAAGTCAATGCACGTGCGACAAACACTTTTCTTACAAGTCTTGCATTTTTGCTCATTTTATGCTCCCATTATGTACAACATGATTGACATTAAACAGACATAAAATGTATAGTTTGACAAGAAAGTAAAGTTGGTACCTTGGTTTTTGGATTTTACTTGACAAGAAAGTAAAGTTGCAATTTAAGCAGAATGCAACCTTGGTTTTTGGAATTTTGCCGCACGTGCGGGATTTATTTTTTTTTAATAAACCCAAGTACATCAAAAAAATAAAAATAAAATTCAAGCCATTTCTACCTTCATTTCACATCCGAAATAAATATAACATTTCAAAAATAACTAAATGCTCAATAAAGGTATAATCTTCATGCGGAAACCACTGGTACCACTTTTCTCCCTAACTATGTTTGTAACTTTCCTTATTCTCCAACAGAGTGACAGACTAGGTTGATTCGGTATCCAGAATCGAGGTGTCTAAGGCTAACTCGACCTATGGGGTTGCCATACAGAGTTCAAGCTGGGGTTGTTTTGAAGCAATCTCTAAACCGTTGGGTATTCAAACTAGACTTTAGTTATGAAAATTCCAAACCTTTGCGTTCCAGGCTTTGTCATTCGAACTCTAGTTTCGACCGTCTAAGTTGGTCTCCTAGGAACTCACTACAAACATAGTTAGGT